TGCCCCGAAGGAACCAAAGCCCAGGCAGAATCAAAAGGTGCCCAAGCCCCCCAGAGCTGCCTCCACCACAACCCCAGAATCCTCCAAACCAGGACCCAGGGCAGAGCTCTGAAAAGTTGTACTCTGAGATCCATATTTCACCATCATGGTAGTCATTTGTGTGGGTGTCTGCAAACATTTCAGTTGCCTTATGCAGGAGACCATCTATAAAATGAACTTTGTTAGATTTGCATGTTTTTATATCCTGGATACTGGCAAATAAAAATGATTTAATCATGTTAGTTAAAGTGCTGGATGCTTTACTTGGTGTTAACACTTTCGCCCACCGATGACTAAGGATGGAGTCAAAAGTTTACTAGTTCAATACCCACTGATGACTAAGGATGGCGTCAAAAATTAAAAACATTTGGTTTTGTGAAAACCGCAGTTTTGGACATTATATGCATATACACCTTGTAGGGATTTTTCATTACGAACACATTAATACCAAAATGAAAGACCTAGGACAAGAATTGAGGTAATAAAGTTGAAAAGAGAAAACACATTTTAATGCTCTTTATTAGCGCTCACTGGGGTAACGCACCATCACTTTCTCTGTTTGCTGTGGATGGTACATCGGGCTTTTGGACTTTATATTTGCATATACACCTATAGGGAATTCTATTGCGAACACAATGATACAAAAATTAAAGACCTAAGACGAGAATTGAGGTGACCAAAGTGAAAAGAGTATACACATTTCATTGCTCTTTAGCGTTCCCGGGTAATTCTCTCTCACTTTGTCTGCTTTGTGCGGGTGGTACGCTGGGCTTTCGGACTTCACATGCATTTAATCGTGTAGAGAATTCTATTGCGAATACATTGATATCAAATTGGAAAACCTAGGTTGAGAATTAAGGTGACAAAGTTGAAAGGAGTATACACTTCTCAGTATTACCGCGCTCTCTAATGGACGGCCTGGCGCTCCTCCCTGCTCTCATCACCTGCTTTCATCACGACGGCGGGTGGAACGCGCCACGGTTTTTGACAATATATGCATATACTCCTGTTGGGAATTTTATTGCGAACACAATGATACCAAAATGAAAGACCTAGGACGAAAATTGAGGTGACCAAAGTGAAAGGAGGGAACACATTTTATCGCTCTAGTGCGCTCCCGGGTAACTTTCTCTCACTTTCTCTGTTTGCTGCGGGTGGTAAGCCGGGCTTTTTGAGTGTTTTGTTTTGAGTTCTGTAGAGCATTCTATTGCGAACACATTGATACAAAATTGAAAAACCTAGGACGAGAATTAAGGTGACAAAGTTGAAATGAGTCTTCACTTTTCAGTATTACCGCACGCTCCCGCAGAACGTCCAAAACCACTAGGGTAGGAGAAATGCTCGCTCACTGAGGTCCAAACTGCGCATTTGAAAGTGTTAAGTCTGGAGTTCTGGATGAAAATATTCACAGCTTTCGGTGCATTTACCTGTACTATGGATGATTCTGCACTTTCTAAGGTGATCGTACTTACATTATCTTGAGGTTATCTTGAGATGATTTCGGGGCTTTTAGTGTCCCCGCGGCCCGGTCCTCAACCAGGCCTCCACCCCCAGGAAGCAGCCTGTGACAGCTAACTAACACCCAGGTACCTAATTTACTGCTAGGTAACAGGGGCATATGGTGAAAGAAACTCTGCCCATTGTTTCTCGCCGGCGCCTGGGATCGAACCCAGGACCACAGGATCACAAGTCCCGCGTGCTGTCCGCTCAGCCGACCGGCTCCCTACATATTCCATTTGTTCTTCCCGATATCCCATGATACAGGTACCCCATTTATTATAACAACAGGTTATGGGTCCTTGTTTTGTTTGTTTTCCTTTGCCAGAGACCGCACTCTGCTGTGGCACCACCGCCGAAACCGCGCTCTGCTGTGGTGCCACTCCCGACACCACTCTCTGCTGTGGCGCCACTCCCGACACCACTCTCTGCTGTGGTGCCACCCCCCAATAGCGCACTCTGCAGCAGCGCCACCACCAACACTGCTGTGGGGCCATGTTCCATGTTTCATGATCTGGCTGGTGGTTCCTAGTAGGCTTGACAACTCTATATGAATGAAGCCCTGTACTAATACCTGTATTAGCTAATATCAGTCCAATAACTCCAGGGAGCCGGCATGGCTCCCCCACAGAAAAATGGCGAATATTTTGTATTTAGCCTTTTTGATGTAACAAATGGTTAGTTGATTTGTTCACACCATTCATGTGTAAAGATTGCTACATCTAATCCACAAATTATTTTGTCTATACTGTATTTCAAATCTAGTGACAAAATTTAATGCAGTTTCTTCCCAGCTGCATCATTTTCACTTATATTTTAGGCTTAGAAAAATTGATGGATATTTCAGTGGAGGAAAATTGCAATTAAGCTCTAAACACAGTTATAACTGAGCCTCACTCCAACACAATAATAATCCACAGCATTTGCATGTGCAGTCATCATAGGGTACTGTGCATAAACAGCATGTCGTTTTTTTGGAAGACAAAAAATCCAGAAGTACAGTGGTACCTCGCATAACGATTGCCCCAAAAGACGAATATTTTGGGTAACGAATGGCCCGATCGGCGTCAAATCGTCCCGTATGACGAACGCTGGTTTGAGTAACGTCAACACCACATGGTGGGGTCGCGCTGCTTCTTGCACATTCTTAGACGCCTCCGACGATGCACATAAATTATGTTGTTCTTGTTTAAAGATGCTAATGATGCTGGGATATAAAAGGGTGACTGCTGAGATGTTGCAAAGCATTGACGTTTTTGTAGGAAAAAAGAAATGAAATGTCTGATATACAAAAAATGTCAAAAAGGTTCGTTCGATGTTCGGCAGGTAGGCTGCTCCATTATAACAATCTTTCTTTGTTTCAAATGTGTTCCATTTGTTTCTTATTTGTCATTTATGTCTCAATAATGGAGAAGCCTACCTTACATACACTGAATAAACCATTATGACATTTTCCTTTCTTCAAATGTGTTCAATATTTATTTTTCATTTGCCTTATAGCAAAAGGTTCGTTTGGTGGTCGGCAGGTAGGCTGCTCCATGTTTCTTACATACAAAAAACGTAAATAATAAAAAAAAAATGAAGAATTTTGAAAACCAGTACAAATGTCAAAAAGATTCGTTCAGTGGTCTACAGGTCGACTGCTCCATGTTTCTTAAAAAAAAAAAAAAAAAAACGAAAAATAAAAGAACTGTTGAAACAATTTGAAAAATGGACAAATGTCATAAAGGTTCGTTCAGTGTTTGTCGGGTAAGCTGCTCCATTATTGAGACGTAAGTGACAAATACAAAACAAATGGAACACATTTGAAACAAAGAAAGATTGTCATAATGGAGCAGCCTACCCAACAAACACTGAACGAACCTTTTGCTATAACGAATATGAAAGACAAGGGCTGCCGGCTGGGTTAATAGTGTGTGAGCAACCATTTGTGGCACACGTGCCTCTGGCTCTCAAACACCTGTCCCACACGGTGTTGAAAGACTGTGCTCAGTCGGTGCAATTCAGACCCTATTGTTTGAAGAACATAAGGGTCATAACATTGGTGAAGCTAGGCGCAATAATAACACAACGGTCGGATGCTAGTGATACAGCACCTATGAGGATGATACAGCGAGCGTATCCAGGTGTAGCTCTGAGCCCCACCCTTGCCATCTCTAATGTATATAGATGATACATAGATGAATCGTTTTCTGCGTTCAGTGATGATGCATCCGATACAAGTAGCATAGATGAACAGTGTTAGCGGCTTCCATGGTGGTGGTGTTCACTGATATTTTCAAGAATACCTGAATCTCTTCCTGATTGATGGACACTCTTTGAGGCTAGCTGAATCTCTTCCTGACTGATGGACACTCTTTGAGGCTAGCTGAATCTCTTCCTGTGTGGGACCTTACAAAGCGATCTTTTCAAGACTACCTTACAAACTGAGCTTTTCCTATAATTGTTTCAATACTACTTTATGCTTTACACGCTTGGCTACATACCACCTACAAGTACTAAATCCAAGGGTGCACGCGAGTGCGTTATTTGCAAGCACACAGAACGATGAAACAGGAAACGAAAATCTATCTGTAGCTGGTGCAAGGAGAGCAAAGTCGCGCTGTGTACCATGGACTACTTCGTTGACTATTACGCACCTCCAAAGTACTGAGTGTGTAATACAGTGTGTTACTGTGTAAATAGTATGTGAAACTGTACATATTGTAATTTTAGTGAATTTTTACCACGTAATATTGTGACAATAAACATTTATTGTGGACACATTACTGACACATGTATCACAGTTTCATGGAAAATTATGAACATTCTACTGTATACATATTGTAAAGGTCACAAATATGCATCATATACGATAAAAGAAACAAATAAAACCGCATTGGAAATGCATAGAAAAAATATTTGAAAATATATTTGTGGTAACACGCGGTGCTTGAATGGCCTGCGCGACCGTGTCTGGGAGCTTCACACACGGGCGACCAGGCCCTGATGACGTCACAGCGCACCTTGTCCACGCCCTCACAGCCAAAGTGGAATTTGGTAATTATTTTTACATAGACATGCTCAGGGATGGTAATTTATCATTTTACAAAGAAAAATTATATTTTGGGGGAACATTTGATGTCATGCACACTGGGAAAATTTCACAATAAACACAGTGCATCACACTGGTTACATGGGGGACACTCGTTTTGTATAACGTCCGTTTTACATGACGAACATGGAACGGATTAAATTCGTTATGCGAGGTACCACTGTATTTGTTATTCGTGTGTCAATGACACATCCTGATTTAAATGAAAGCCCCACTCTAAAATGGCTCTTACCAGATTTATTACATATGATATACAGAATTTGTGATGAGTGAAAGCCATCAACATGAATATAGTATTCTATAAACTGACAATTCAAAATCAATAAATATTCAGGAAATAAAAAAACTAAAATAGACACTAATGGCTTACCAACTCATCCTTCAGTCTTTGGTATCTCTCCGCTTCTTCCTTCTCCTGTTTGGCTTCTTTTCGTTCCGCTGCAATGCCTTTCTTCTTTTGGTATGTGAACTGTGTATCCTCCTCAGCCTTCAGCATCTCTGCCTTCAGACGGTCATATTCCTCCTTCACTGCTCCAGAACTGACAACACAATTAATGACTCAGTAGTTCATGAACAACTGTCAAAACCCCATCAGGGCAGTTACCATAAGAAGCATAACTCCAAAAGATGAAGTTTATTGAGATAAAACATAATTTACAATGAGACTAATTAAAATGGAACAGAATCCAAGAGATGCAAGTACAGTGAAGCACTCCTAGGAGAGAAGGTAAGAACAAATGGTCCTGGGTACTAGAAATGGTTATGATAATAATCATAACAATAAAACCAGCGTTGAATGTAATGAAACGCCATTTTCTGGGTGAGCCCCGGAGGCTCCCTGGAGCTTATCGGGCTAATGTATGTTATGGTAGACCGGGACATTAGCTATGGAGTTCAGACCTACCAGGGACCAGTGCCAGAACCTGGCCCCTTCAGAGAGGTTTCAGGGATCAATGGCCCTGGAAAACCCCATATGGTTCGGGGTTTTCCTTATCTGCCATCGACTGGGGTCAGGCACCCAGAAAGGTAGGCATAACAAAACAAACCCCACATGGTAAAACTACAACAAAAACCGAACAGAGAGGTAGAAAACTCCCTACAATCCCAAAGAACAGTCAAACAATCAATTTACTGCTGCGCCGGTTGTCTGCGCAGCAGCAGCACCCCCCCCCCCCCGAAGGGGGAGGGGGGGCCCCGGACATCACCGTGCCGGCTGCCTTCAGTTTGGAAACTAGGCTTCAACCAACGCGAAAAACCCCGCCGACCGGATGGGAGGGAGAGTAGCCAAGGAGCCTCCGGGGCTCACCCAGAAAATGGCGTTTCATTACATTCAATGCTCGTTTTCTGTGGGGAGCCCCTATGGCTCCCTGGAGCTACATACCCAAAGAGAAAGAATTAGAGACTTACCCGGGAGGCGGCGGCCACAAACTTCTCAACGCGAAGTCGAGACAACTGGCTGCAACCTGCGACCCAAAGCAAAACAAGAACGCCGAGGAGCAGGGACGTTCACCAAATAACGGGCGGCCAGGACCCTGTTCAAATTCCAAAATCCATGCACCCGAATATGAGCCCAAGACATGTTACCAAACATGGCAGCCAAGGCTGCAAACTTTCGAACATCATGGGCGCGAGGATAGACCGCAAGCTGGCTAGACTTAATAACCCTGCGGACAACCCGGGAGACCCGAGCCCTGGAACAGGGAACGAGGGAAACCGGATCAACCCAAAGCGCATCCCCAGCAACCCCAGCTGAAGCGCGCAGGTAATGGCGAAGTGCTGCAACTGGATACAACACATGATGCACCCCTGGCCAAACTAACCAAGCATCAATAACCCACGGACCCTCCGGAAAGCAGCCGTCTCATTCTTCTCCAGAAAAGATGGAGAAGGGACAAACCTACCCACAGGACCAAAAGAGCAGAAACCCCTGTGCCGGAGAAGAGCATGAAGTTCCCCTACCCGGCCCCCAGAGGCCAATGCCAACAAAAACAAAGCCTTGGAAAAACAATCCGGAACCGAAGGGGCAACCACAAACCGAGGAGAGGAAAGATAGGAGAGCACTCTGTCCAAAGACCAGGACGACTCTAGAGGAGCATGAGCAGGCCGGAGGTGAAACATAGCACAGGAAAGCTTACGAAATGGGGCGGATGTGATGTCCACCCCGAACGCTAGCTTGAGCGGCTCTGCCAGTGCCGCACGATACGAGGCGACAGTATTAGGCATCAAATGACGGTCCTGAAAAAGCCAAGAAAGGACAAGACAACCCGATCCGAACAAAGAGACAACCTACGAAGAGCCAGAAAATGGCGAAAAGAACGCCAGGAAACTTCATATTGTCTCTGAGACGAAGCTCTCAGGTGGGACACCATCAACGAAGCCACCTCATCACCATAGATATTGGTGATACACCCGCGTCAAAAAGACCAGACGCGAAGAGCAGAGGAGAAGTTCGAACCAGCCCTGTACCGGACCGGGCTGACCTCCTGAAAGAGGCGGAGCCACGGGAAACATCCTGGGTTCGGGCGCCAAGCCAAGAGCATCGGAAAGCAAGGCTGGGCTGGTCACCAAGGGGCCACAAGGACTACTCTCCCTGGGAATGTCTCCAACTGAACCAGAACCCGAAGCAACAGCTGGACCGGGGGAAAGAGGAACAGGTAACCCCACCTCGACCAGTCCTGCCGAAAGGCATCCACCGTGAACGCCTGGCAACATGACGGAATTAAAAGTGGCGACTGTCACCCGGAGACAAGGGCACAGCAACCAACGATCCCGTACAAGACGGGTTGGAACCCGGAAGACACATTCAATGATCCACTGAGCCCAGACAGGGGTTTTCAGGGCCCATAGGGGTAACAACTACGGGAAGCCTGGGCAAGGTGTTGCTAACCGGTTAAGAAACCCAAAACAACAAGGGGTAGAGGACAACACTGAAAACCCCTGCGACGTGTACAATCACAGGGGCCTAGCAGAGGGGCCACCAAACACTACCAGTGGAACAATAGCCACACTGGGCAGACCCCCACCAGGCAAATGAAAATAAAAACAAAAGAAAAACCCCGTAAAAGTACACCGTCTCCAGAGGCAACAGGAACTGGTCGCTGCTTAGGTGGCAGGTCGCGCAACAACTTGACGCCCTAACCAGCACAATACCAGTCCCTACCCAGGGCCAAACAAGGGCCCTAAGCCCCAGCTGGCCCCAAGGATGAGGCAAATGCCGAGCAGCAGGAACCTCTACGGGAATGGTTCGCGAACGCCCCAGGGAAGATAACCCTGTCACGCAGGGGCAGTACTCACAGGGTGCTTAGGGAAGGAAGCCCCTAAGCGCATGCAGCCCTGGTACTGATGAGGAACACCTGGCCACCGCACAACACAACACAAGGCAAACACCGCCTAGGAAACTGAGGCCAGAGAAGCGTCTATCCCGGTTGACATTAGCTTACAAACTAATGCTAGGCAGCTGGCGCGATGAGGTCTGGGGCTCCCCCCTCCCCCTCTCGGGACGGGGAGGGCTGCACGGACGATCGGCGCGGCAGTAAAGCGTGATGTTTGCTCGTTTCCTTGGGATTGTAGGGAGTTTCTACTTCTCTGTTCGATTTTTTGTTTTAATTTTTTACCATGTGGGGTTTGTTTTATTATGCCTACCTTTCTGGGTGCCTAAGCCCGGTCGATGACAGATAAGGAAAACCCCAACCACAAGGGGGTTTTCCAGGACCATTGCTCCCTAAAACTCTCTGAAGGGGCCAGGTTCTGGCGCTGGTCCCTGGTAGGTCTGAACTCCTTAGCTAATGTCCCAGTCTAATATAACATACATTAGCCTGATAAGCTCCAGGGAGCCGTAGGGGCTCCCCACAGAAAACAGAGTTAAATGTTACGAAACGCCATTTTCTGAGCGAGTCCTGAAAGCTTCCCGGAGCTATCCAGGCTTAATGGATATGTATAACTTTCTGGCATCAGTCAGTGTGCACGGAGTTCTCGCCTACCAGGGACCACAAGTCAGAATCTGGCTTCCCTCAAGAGAAGCACAAGGAGTAATGGCCTATAGAAACCCCCGTGTGGTTGGGAGCATCGTATGTCTGCCATCGACTGAATCGGGAACCCAGACACAAACAAGTGGATAGAACTCCCCAAACCAAAATTAGCAAACAAGCATGACGTCATCATGTCGCTGAGCCACTGCCTGTGCAACCCTCCCCCTATCCCCAAGAGGGAAAAGGGGGGAGACCCCCACCCCGTGATCCACCCTTCAGTTCTTTGGCTGGATGTCAAAATACGCAAAAATACCGCCGACCGGAGATAGGGAAGGATGCCAGGGAACCTCCGGGACTCACTCAGAAAATGGTGTTTCATTACATTCAATGCTGGTTTTCTGCGGGGGGCCGTCGGCTCCCCAGAGCTAACTACCCAAATTAAAAAAAAAAAAGGGGGGGGGGGGAGACTTACCAGGGCAATGGTCACTCCTTACACCTCAATGTGGAGCCGAGACAACTGACTGCAACCACCGACCCATTGTAACGTGGGCCCTACGAGGTCCAGGGACATTGACAAGGTAGCGAGCGGCCAGGACCCTGTTCGACCTCCAAAAACCCTGTGCCCGAATGTTAACCCAAGACATGATGCCAAAGACGGCAGCCAAAGCAGCGAACTTACGCACGTCGTGGGCACGAGGATAGACTGGCTGGCTCGCTAGACTTAATAATCCTGCAGACGACCTGGGAGACCCAAGCCCAGAAACAGGGGAAGAAGGAAAACCAGATCAACCCAAAGCGCATCCCCAGACACAGAAGCCGTGGGACGCAAATAACGGCGGAGAGCCGCAACCGGACACAACACATAATGCATTCCTGGCCTGACCAGCCAAGCATCAACAACCCAAGGACCCCTCCGGAAAGCAGCAGTCTCATTCTTCGCCAGAAAAGAAGGAGACGGCTGCCACCAGGACTAAAAGAGCAAAAACCACTGCGCCAGATTAGAACATGAAGCTCCCCAACCCAACCCCCAGAGGCCAATGCCAACAGGAAAAGAGCCTTGGAAAAACAATCCTGAACCAAAGGGGCCACCACAAACCAAGGAGAACAGAGTAAAGAGAGCACCCGGTCCAAGGACCAAGAGGGCTCCGGCGATGCATGAGCAGGCTGGAGGTGAAACAACGCACGAGACAACTTGCGGAACGGAGCAGACGTAACATCAATAACGAATGCAAGTTGTAGCGACTCCGCCAGCACCGCACAATACGAGGCGACAGTATTCGGCATAAGATGACGGTCCTGAAACAACCACGACAGGAAGGACAAAACAACCATATCAAAGACCATAGTGCACCTACACTGTGATAGGAAAAACTGGAAGGACCGCCAGGAAACCTCATACTGCCGCCGAGCTAAGGCATGAAGATAGGAGACCAACAACAAAGCCACTGGCACTCCATACAAATGGTGATAGACTCGAGTCAGAAAGACCAGATGTGAAGACTCGAGGAGAAAAGCAAACCAGCCTCGTAACGGGCAGGACCGATCTCCTGAAAGAGACGGAGCCATGGGAA